TTTCTTTCTTTCTTTCTTTCTTTCTTTCTTTCTTTCTTTCTTTCTTTCTTTCTATAATAATGCCAGTAGCCAGGATAATGAAGGTTAAAACTCCAGGGAAGCTGTTAAAACATGAATTATTACCAAGTTTGGACTTTAGCCCAAATTTCTGGTTATGACCTAGCATAGGTCATTCATTTCTCACATGCAAAAATATCTTGCTCTGTGTAATGCTGCATTATTAGCCAGGATTACCCAAGACCATTCCTTACATCCATAATCATTCAGAACAATCAATGCGTGTGTCCTCTCTTAGAGCACTCCCAGGAAACCAGCCATCCTAAAATAATAACCAGATCCCCCTCTGCTAGACAGAATCAATGGGCCTTGTAGCATTCACCCGGCACCTGACCGAGTGAGGTGCCGAGCACCTTCAACTCCCATCAGTTTCAATGGAGAGGAAGGCACTTGGCACCATTCATCTCAGTGTCTTGTAGGACTGGGCTCCAAATATGGCCTCCATCAGCTCAATGTAATGTCAAAGGTATGGCCCAGATCATGGGAGGGGAGGGGGTTCCTCTGAAGGAAATGTCCACCAAGATCTCATTGTAGAGCTTTTCCACATTGTCTCACTGTGGGGCCAGAGTTTGCTCCTCCTCACAAGAAAGGCCAAAGGGTCTGCCTCAAACGTGGATGGCCTGGATCTGTGTGTCTGCCCTGTGGTCCTCTCTTTATGCACAGAATGGGTACAGCACATGCAGTGACTCCCTCATGCCGCCACCACCCACAAGCCTCCATCTTCTTCTGGTGGAACTTATCCATGGGTTTGGTCACCGGCTTCTCAGCTATGCTCTCTAGCAGGGATCCCAATTAGTGCCAGCTGTAGTGGTTATGTGATCTGGACAACTCTTTGCTGGGAGCTGGACTGAGATGCAAACTCAGTTCACTTAGGACAACAAATAGCCATAAGATTGCAACAGCCATGTCACCACCAACTAGAGCCTGTTGAAAACTATTATTGTGCTCTGTGGAAAATTTTGATTTTTTTTTTCCCCAGTGGAAATTCAAATACTGAAAAATGTTGGCCAAACGCCAAAATATTGTGCTATGGAAATGCTGCCATAGTCCTCATGGTGGGAACTGTAGTTTGGGTGCCACCTGGTTCCATTCTCTGCAGGCCATTTCCCTATTGGGAGACAGGAGGTGGTGCATCATAGAAGTCCCTGGCCATGGTGCATGATGGGGGATGTAGTCCAGCTCAGGAGCTCAGCCCATAGAGGAGAATGGGGACATGAGGCAACTGAACTATTGTGTTTTTGGCTGAAATATTTTGGTTTTCAGACATTTGGGTATTTTGGTGAAAAATCAACCTGGAAAAACGTTGTTGTTTTTTTTAAACATTGTTTAGCTGAAGACCCAGTTTTCTGTTGAAAAACAGTTTTGATGAAAAGATTGCAACAAGTCCTACCACCCAATCTGGCTAGATACCAGCCAGCAGTTTATAGGAGAAAGGCCCTACATCCCATTGCCAGTCCCTTGAGTCCGCTAGTTCTCTAGTCAGCAAAGACTTTACTGAGGTCAGTGTTCAGTGTAAGTTCAGAGCACAGCCTGATGCAGTTAACAGGCAAGATCAATACCTGCTGAGCAACAGTCGCCAATATAAACACTGGTGCTTTTCATGAGAGCAAGCAGGGTTGGGGGGTGAATGCTTTGGGTTGGTCTGAGGCATTATGTACTTAATGGCCAGCTGCAATATGCATCTTTTGACTCCTGCTCTGAAGTGGAATTTCAAGGGGTGGAAAATTACAAAGCAGCAGCTGGGAACCACAGTCCCATTGCAGACAGGCCTGGGGTCTCTGTAGCAGTTTGCTGCTTTCTGGTCTGCACCAAAGGTGAAAGGGACAAGTTCCACTTGTATAGGGAGGGTGCACTCACTGGTGACTGGAATAGAAAGAGCATATGGGAGCATCTAGAGACATGGTGAGTGCTAAGGCCATTGGTTTCAATGGGAGCTAGGTGCCTAAATACCTTTGAGGATGTGCATGACACTCTTGTCCCTGAGTTAATACTGACCCAATGCTCCATCAGCATGTTTCAGGGCCGCATGCTATGGTTAAGGATGAGGGTTGTGATCATTCAAATAGATTCCATAGTACCTCCCCCCCCCCACCCCGAAAGAGCAGCTCTATTATGGAAGCCTGACCAGCCTCCATTCGGGGCTATTCATAGATTTTTAAGGCCAGAAGGAACTATTATGATCATCTATTTGACTTCCTGCCAGAGAACCTCCCCCACTAAATTCTGAATAAAGGCTATAACTTCTGTCTGATCGCTAGCAGATTTCTTAGAAAGCACATCCAGTCTTGGCTTAAAGACGGCAGGGGATGGAGAACCCACCCCATCTCTTTGTAAGTTGTTCTGGGGGGTTAATTATTCTCACTGTTCACCATTTGCACCTTAATTCTGGTCTGAATTCATCTATTTTCAGTCCAGTTCCATTACTGTCTACATCCCTACATTCCCCCTGCAGTTTCAGTTCTAGTGTTTTACTTCCTGCCCTACACTGCTGCACAGGGTTTCCATGCAGTATTAAGCTGCTGTTTGTGTTCTATCCAGAGGTGACCGCATCATAGCAGGGACTGAAGGGAATGTAGATATAAAGGGCCTGATTAAAGTCCTTATTGAAGTCAATGGCAATCTTTCCATTG